AAGCCCGGCTCAGTCCCAGCTCACGCTGGGTCCAGGAGTTACCCCTTTTGCAGCTCTGCAGCTTTAATATACTAAGAGCCGGGCTGCAGAGGCTGATGTGACTAGTGGATTAACCAATCACTATTCTGCATGCTGCTCTTCTTTGGGAGGGGAGGGAGGGAAAAATGTAGCTCAGGGAAGCTCAGCCCTTATGCTGCTTCCAGACTCCACCTCCCATTGGCCAGGAATTGCAACCAATGAGAGGGAGGGTACTAGAAAGTGTAGGGTGATGTGGAGTCATCAGTATCCCCCTGGGAGCTGCACCAGTTAGGCACACAATCCCCTCCTGCATCCCACTCTAGCCCCCCTGCTGCCCAGACCCCTCCCCCCCATCCCACTCCTGCATCCTACCAGCTGCCCAAACCCTGCACCCCCACCACAGCCCTCTCCTCAGTAGCCTCCTGCCATACACTGAACCCCTCGTTTTTGGCTTCATTCCAGAGCCTAGGGGCCCCCACAACATTCTGGCCCTGGGGGGGGGGGGAAGCCCGAAGCCTTGGGGCCCCCCACCACGCAGCTGGAGTGCAAAGAGAACCCTGGCACCTCAAGATGCATGAGTGAATGTCTCTGATCAGTTGGGGGTTTGTTGTGCTTCTCACTTGTGTATGGCCCCACCCGTTTGATCTATCTGTGGGTCAGTGGCCTCTGACCTGAAAAAAAAAATGTTCCCCACTCTTGGTCTAGGAAAACCAGAAGGAAAAGGTACCTATCTGTAGTAAGGATGTTAAGTACGGTTTAATTCACTAGTAACGAAGGGGGGGGGGGGGGCAACTAGTCAACTATCTTGTTGACTATCCGATAAGCATTTGCTTGTCGACTACTTCTTAACATCCCTAGTCTGTAGTCACAAATCAGACAGCTCACAGTGACAGGAGGGGAAATAACAGGACAATTATTCAATTTCAGTGATTGTTATCAAATGAGTAAGGATGCAAATCTGATTTTATATGTTCTTTTCCACCCCATTCCCACTCCAAAAGGCTCAAGAAGAGACTCCGCTTCAGAACTGAAGGAAACAATATAACCCAGCCCTCAATCTGACTGGCCATGCACTGTTTTGGCTTCTCCGGGCTGTGCTCCTGCCTGACAAAGGGAGCCTCCTTTGAGTTTTAATTTGACACTGTAAAGTAGGTTAAACAACTTCAACTGGCCTACAATTAAGTGACTGCCCAGGCACTTCCATCCTGAACAAACCTGCTCAACGGTGCAGGTGTTTAAGTAATCGCAACAAGGCTTTGCAGCTTGCAGCCCTATGATAAGATGACCTAGGAGGAGAGGGGAGCTTACTTTTCTACTCAGTGATTTTTCACAGCTGTCCAGCTGCTGGCTCAGATTGGTGGAGACTGTTTCCCTTTGTCCTCCATTTATAGCCTTCTGCTCTATTGTGAGATACTGCACATCACAATGATGGGGAAAACACGCTGTGCATCGTATCCCAGCATGGAAATGCCATGAATGACAGCTCATGGAAAGAAATACAAATCTGGGATGCAACCCCTCATTTTCCCCCTTTTGCATACACCAGGCTGGCACCAATCAACTTACATGTTTTACAACCCAAAATGGTAAAGGTGTTGTCTTCCTTCACTCTTCAGCATCTGAGTCAAAGTGGATATACTGATCTAATAGATATCTTGAGTTCCTGTGCTGGTAATTCTGAGGGCTACTGGACAAAAAGTCAGTCTCCACAAATCACACTAGGAAACAATCAAACCAGCATTATCCTTCCCACCCCGATATATGGGTGCTCTCCAGCCTTTCAACTCTACAGTTTTATGATGAAGTAGCAAGGATGAAAAACCCCACGCCCTGCCCTTCTCTTTCCACTCCCCAGTTGAACAATCAACACCTCACCATCTCAAAGATGTTTCCCCGAGCACTAATCAATCCTTTGCCAGAGAATATTAGTGACTCCTCCAGTTCAAAGCCAGGGTTCAGGTAACACCCAGTATGGACAATTCTTGCCCAAGGCTTAATAAAAGACTCAGCAATGGCAAGTCAACTCATGAACTGAGCAAAGTACTTCTCTCAGCTGCCCCTCCATCCCCAGAGGCATGAGCATGCTGCAGCATCCCACTTATTCCATCTGGTAGATATGCTCCACAAAGAGCAGCTAGTTTGAGAGCCACCGAGAAAAGAGGTCTCTAAAAGAGGAAGGGCAACATCCAACCAGGCAAGAAGGGGAAGAAGAGCTTGGTTGACAGTTGACTCCACCTGAATTTGGTAGGTTCTAAAGGGCCATGTCTCTTCTGCACTAGTCTTGACTAGTCTATATTTGGTATGCTTAAGCCCTGTCTATCCTGAGTACCTGATTAATCTTTGCACAGTATGTGAAGTTTCACAACCACTTCCCCCCCACTCCACAGATGCTGAAAAAGAAAAGGATCTATTCTCAAGTCTCAGCAAGATTAAAGCCAGAAATGGGGCTAGCTGGCCAACCAGAGGGAAATTAATTTAAAAGTCCACCTTGAGAAAAAGTAGGCGTTTGAGCACCCAAAGATCTTTCCTCTTCTCCTGTACGATGGGATCATGCCCTAACACTGGCAAAATTTCACTTCACACCAAAAATCAGGATATTTCCAATACTGTGAAAATTCTAACACTTCCAGAACCCCCCCACATGTGGTTACCAGCAGGCACTGGAGGGAAAACCTAAGAGTGGCTTGAATAGTACAGGAGCTTCAGCAGAGAAGCAATCTTTCATTGCTTTGACACTGAGCCTCTCCAGCACACAGGTCACTCCCTCCTCCCCACTCACTGTGCTAGCTTTAATCCCTTAGAAGTCACATGTGCACTGCTGTTTTATTGAATGAGTTAGACACCCTCTCATACCCTAGTATTTAGCAGAGCTACAACCACACCCTATATGCAGGGTAATACCCAGAATCTTAAAGGACAAGGGCACCTGCGCTACTCAATGCGGTGCTGGGTCTAATTTGCACAGCTTGGAATCAAGATACTCTTCCAAGAACGGGAGATGAGTTGAGAACAGCAACAGCTTACAGAAGCCAGGTCCTTTCCAGGACTTGAAGTCTTATTCCGCATACACACCACTGAATCTAGAACAGGGTTGGGCAATAATTTTTGCCCAGTGGCCACATCAAAAATTTTTGAAGTAGCCCTGGGCCACCCTACCCCCAGACCATGATTGGAAGTGTGGGAAGCTTCCTCTTGCCCTGTGAGGACCATGTGACACTTGGAAGTGCTGGGCTACTCACTGGGCCGGGGCAGGACAAAGGGAGCTTCACGCAGCTTCCCTCCCCCTGACCCCACAGGCCCTGATTGGCCTGGGGGCGGGGCACATGAAGCCTGCTCCACTCTCTGCTTCAAAGCGCCATGTGCTCCTAGCAGGGCAGGAGGGAGGTGTGTGCTCCCCTACCCCCCAGCCAATTAAGGCCTGGGAGCGGGGAAGCGCACAAAGCCTTCCCTGTTTTGCCCCCGTCCTGTGCACGGCACTTGGAAGCACCGCGTGCTGCTCACAGGATGGGGACAGAGTGGAGAAGGCTTCATGCACTTCCCCGCACCCAGGCCCTAATTGGCTTGGGGGCGTGGGAGCAGCAGGGCCTCTGTGGGCTGGATCCACCCACTTGGCAGGCCAGATCCAGCCCACGGAGACCCTTTTGCCCACCACGATCTAGAACTTAGTCAGCTCTGCCCCAAATAAGGATGAAAAAGAAAGCTATTTACCCCACCTGAGAGAGTGTTGATGCTCACTACAGTCCAAAGCCCCTCACAGCTAAGGGCATGATTCTCCGGTGACATCACTGCTTCCCCTAGCCATGTCACATCAACTGGCTCTATTATCTCTCAGTGTGCTCCCATGCCTAACAGTATCCAGCATGATTATCTACCACAGTGTTTCTCAACCTTTTTTTTTTTAAATAAAGTATCCCCTTAAAAAAAAAAAAAGGTACCAACAGTTTTCAGAGAATTTTTTCTACCATTGCAACACATTTGTTTAAACAACTTAATCACAGCCGAGAGGGCAGTGAAATTTTTGGGTGTAAAAGTACAATAATAAAGCACTATAAAACTTAAAACAAAAATTCAGTTTTCTCCAAATTTCAGCTGTGTTGATGTACCCACCCACACTTCTCTCAAGTACCCCAAGAGTATTCATACCACTGGTTGAAAAAACACTGATCTGACACACCCTTCCTCATCAACCTCTGACATGGTTATTCCCCAAACTCACAGGTACATCAAGTTTGATTCCAGAGATACTCAACACCGCACACCACCTTAAGATAAAATCTGAGATCAATTGCAGTAAGCGAACCAGATGGGGAGGGGTTGTAAGAGGGTCAAAGAACATTACTCCTTGGGACTTTTTCTTGTAGCTTCCGAGTCAATTTTCTTAACTCTGAATAATTCACACACACGTATTCCTAATTTCCTTCCCAGATCCAACAAACTGCTTGTGGCTTTGGTTATCCCCAGTACATGAAAACTGTTTCAGTTTCATCCCAGATACAAAGGCCATCCTTCAAACAGGATGATGTGACAGGATCCCTGGGTTAAGGCTTGTGTGTTAATTCCAAATGTCCAAAGACAGCAAGAAGCAGAAAATTGTGATTCAACAGCTACAAGGAACTTTGCTTTGGCAACTGGATAGGATTCACCATGTACCATTTCCTCTGACTTCAGCTTGACTGGAAAAACCAACTACAACATATTTGAACCAAGTTGAGGGCCACTCTGACACCTAAAGCACAAACGCAGAGCTGAGACTTTAGACTTGAAAAAGCAGCATCCCACCCATTTCTTCAGCAGGCTCCTGACAAGAGACTCCTGACAAGAGACTAAGTTGTGTCAAGTCACCTCATTTCTCCCGCTGCCCAGATTTAACTTCTCTGCTCAGTCATAATAGAGTATGGAGCCAATTTGATATCTTAGGTAGCCCTGAGTCACTTTGTCAGCAGGCCCAACTCCCCACACGTGGCAAACTATTTACAACTCACGTGAATGCGAAGAAGAGAGTGGTGGCTCCCACTAAAAAGATGGCAGCAGCTGAGACCGGGACGTATTTGCTGGGTTTGAACCTCTTTCCAGATGCTGCTGGCATGTTGGAGCTCTGGTGGGGGATCCGCCCTGCAGCATAGCCCAGGCGCAACTGGAGTCAGAATGGACACGAAAAGGGGGAGGGGACCTTAAGAAGGGAAGGAAAGAGGAGGGGGGCAGAAGTAGTCGTGAAGGTAAACAGTTATCCAACTTCCTGAAATATACTTTGAGAATATTCCAAATGGTGCAGGAGGAAACAATCCAGAGGAAAAATCCACACCGGTCTCTGGAGGGAGACACAGCCAAGGGAGTTTACGCTGTCCCCTGAAAGTTTGGGGATGTACAGAAGGACATTTAAAAAATAAAATGGGAAACCGAATTCCAATTCAATCTGCTGTTAGTAACACAACAGCTGGGAGCAGCTAAACTACAGGTGTAAGTAATAGCTCCCCACGCAGCTTGTGGCAAATGCTGGCTTCCAAAGTGGAGGCAAAGATTTTATAAGTTAGGGTGGGGAAAGCGGTAAGTGAAAATTGCAGAGCTCTGCAGCACATGGAGGCAAGCCAAGTTCCAGAAGTCCTTCCCACCCTGGTGATTGCTCCTGGAAAGGTGGCCAACTCAGCAACAGGCTGCCATTAGATTTCTTTGAAAAAAAACCACGCCAAAATCCCAAGGCAGTCTCCTCTCCTTTATAGTCTGTTCCTGGTGTCCAGCAGTTCTCTCCAGTCACAGCTCAGGGGAACAGGGTTATCCTGAAAAAATGTGCTTGTTTTCCTTCACACTGCTTGGTTCTTGCCTTCCCTTCACTCAAGGCAGTCGAAGAGATACTCAGTTCCTGGTGAAATCAGGGAGAGATTGCGTAGCGGTGGTTGTTTAATTTTATTTATTTCTCGCTTGACGGCTAAAGCCGGCTAACAGCTGGTGCCAGGTTGAGCTGTAAATCCTTCCCTTTGAAAGGAGGGGTTGGAGAAGGAATTCAGTTGGCGTGTGCGTTTTCAACCTCTTCCTATTTGTTTCCTTTTGTATGACACCCCAAACTCTTCAACAGGTCTAGTTTCCACCTGATTTTTATCAACAAAATTGAATTTCAAATCCTTTCTGTAGTGACGGTCTCTACAAAATGCCTGGCTGGGGTGACGTGAGACTTGGAAGTTTTCAGACAATTCTGTTAAAACTCCAGAATGCAACTGATAATTAAAATAAGGCTGATTGGGCCCCTCTCACACCCATGGCCTAGGGAATTTCAGTCTGTTCCAAGTAGTTCCATTTTCATTTCCCTTCCCCATATAAAATTGTTTCAATCCATATTTGTTTAAAAAATTATATAAAATAATTAAAACTTGACATCTGGAACTCCACGCTTTATCTAGAAAAAAAGAAAAATTAAATTAAAGGAAGTCAGGAAAAATAACCACTTTAATACTAACAATGCACTTTGAATCCTCAAGTACTGTACAAGCGTTCATTTCAAGAGGTAAACATAGTCCAGAGGCCTTAGAACCAAGCAGGGGAAAAGATGTTGCTGTCTCAAATATGACACAGACTCACTCCATAGGCTTTGGAATGTCACTTATCTCTGAGAATCAGATTTTACATGTGCAAAATTGAGATGATACACAACTCTCACTGAAAGATCATCAACTAAGAGCAAGTTTAACACTTAAAGTTCTGGCTTTCAACATCACTTTCCATCGTCAAAGAGCTTCACAATCATTCCTTAGCTAAGCAATCTGAGGTAAGTACAGGCAGTCCCCGGGTTACGTACAAGATAGGGACTGTAGGTTTGTTAAGTTGAATCTGTATGTAAGTCGGAACTGGCGTCCAGATTCAGCCGCTGCTGAAACTGACCGCCAG